CTGCTATAGCATTGTCAATACTACGAAGAATATCCATAGGCTTGACTCGACTATGGTCAGCCATTCTTAATACCAACGATGTGAGTAACAACTAAGCTAAATCCAGATTTTTCATTGTTTTCGTCGTCATTAAATTTATACTTGAGCCTCCATCCACTTGAATTCCAGAAATAAGGACTCCATCGATGGATACATCAATAGTCGGTGCTTCTAGATCGGGGTTCACACTAACTTCCCAAACTTCTTTAGACCGAGTTCTTCATCATATTAATGAAGAATTCAATATAGAACAACATTCTCACGCAACTGCTAATAGTTGCTTCATTGAGATTGACGGTTTGATTTCATCTAAATTCTTCAATATATCATATAGTTCATATTTGTAGTGATTTCCAAAGCCCTTTTTTTTTTCATGGGCTTCACTTTAATCCCTGTTAATAGCTTATCTTACTTCAGAGAGTCTGACACCGGAATAGCTGAACAAGCTATTTCGTACTATTTCACCTTAAGAAGGTCTTTTAGTGAGTAAGGCCACTCCTTGTCCTTTGAGGGTAATAAAACTGGTTCATGTTGGATCAATAGACTTGTGCCAGAACCATCATTGGGCTATTTTGATGATCCAGGTCCCAATCCTGATGATGATCCAGGTACACTTATTGGATTTGAGTCTAATTGTCCCTTAGAAATTGGTTCCTCCAATTGTGGAATTGAATCTTTTCTTTTTTGCTGGGCCCTTGTCAGTAAGGTATGCACGCATTCCATCCGATTTATTGGTGAAACTTGTAGACCTCGATTATTCTCCTGTGGTTTACTCTACAATTGAACTTGCTGGTTTCGGTTATTGAAATTAAATGGGACATTAAATGGGACATTGAGTATTGGTTCTGTATTCCTAATTGTATACCAAATTTTGAAATTTGGAAAAATTTCTATTCGGCTTATTAGAATGATTCTCGTTCTAGCCAAACCTATTTCCTATCTAAATTTGGTTAACATTCCATGAAGCCGGTTGGGTCTTTATCTGATTATTGAGTTATTGTTGCTTCTATAAATTCCAACAATTGGTGGTAATATGCTTGCCCCAGCAAAAGGTACATTGTACAATCATTTGGAGTGGTGAAGGACATTTTGTTACTAAATGACTTTGCCCCTTACAATTGCTGCACCAAACTTTGGGATACATATTGGTTGGTTTATGTCTCTTTTCCTTGTCTTTTGCTAAGTTGACAACTAGTTCCTCCATTTTCTTTGTCAAAGTTATCAACAAAGCCTCATTTGGATCCTTTGGTCCAGTTTCACTTGATAATTTTTTTGCACATACTACTTTTTGATATGGAGAGTATGGAGAATACAGGATTGCAATTGTTGGTGGTATATTTTACAATCGAACATCATTCACTACTCCTTGTGGATTAACACTAAAGTTTGCATCGTAATCTAGCATTCTTGGATAATTGCTCCTAGTTTCACTCCAGATTGGTATTGGATAATCTGCTTGAGATGAAATCATTGTAGCTCCAGTGGTTAAGAATTGGTCATAGTCACATTCTTCCCACACTTTTGTTCATACTAGCGAGGAAGCAACACTGGTCGATTGGGCCTCCTTCACGAATAACTTTAATTCTACTCGATAAAGTCCATTAACTAATATGGAAAAAATAAACAAATCAGGCATTTGGTTATTTGGCCATTTACTAAGAATATTTGCTACTCGGCCATAATATGATTGTACCACTTCTCCTAATACCATTTTGTTATTCATCAATCTTTTCCTAAGTCGCTCTTCAAATCCAATTGGTCGAAAATAGATTAAAAATACATTCTTTAATGCCTCCCAATTAGAAAATTGCTCAACGAACTGGCGATTATATCATTCAAATGTTGTGTCCTTTAATATTGCTGGCAGCTATCTTAACCAAATATCTTCAGTTCTGCCATTATTGGCTATACATGCAGTCAAGAATTGTGATGAATGTTGATCTGGATCTCCCGCCACACCCATTTGGACTGCAATTGGAACTACTGGTCCTTCGAATGCCATTAAGATGCCGGTGTTTCGCTCAATTCCTTATTAAAATAAAAATTGTCTCCTGCAAAAGTCTTTTTCAGACTATTATTATTCCCAAATAATTTTATTGGTTGAATACGAGGTGAAAATGATGGATTATGATATACTCTGAATTGGTCTTTATTGACAAGTGATTTATGTCGATCTTTAGAACCAATCTTGTTAAAATCAGACGTATCTCCAATTAAAAAAATATCCAATGGGATACCTAATTCCTCTGTACCTTCTTCGCTTTTCGTTAATGGCTTCGAGAAGTATGCTAGACTATTAGCAGCCCTCCCCACGAGTGCTCTTAGCAATTTCTTTAATGGTATGTATTTCTGAAATATTAGAGGTCGATCGTCTTCTGGGTACGATCAAATATACCGACAGGCATGCAACTATTACTTAATCCAACTTTGTTGATGCTTCTTTTTCAATTTGTAATCTTGCTCATTACGCAACAAATTTCTTGCTTGCAATCTCTAAGTTCTTTCTTTTGATTGCTTTATTCTCTTTTTTGTTAAATTCTCATTCTTAGTAACCATACTCTTTCATTATTTCTATAGAGTTTGCTTCCTAATCTCCTTTACTACTTCGGCAGTAAATTCCTAATACTCAATAATGTTGTCAATCCCCGGCAGCGGCACCAAAATATGATTGTCGTTTTACTTATTCCGAAAGAAACCTCCCAAAATAAACTTGTATAGGGAAATTTGAATACAGGGAAAGACCATGTATATGAGCTCCAATTGTTAGAGTCACACAATTAACCGCTACTGCTGAATACTTACAATACCAGAGAACACTTAACTTTTCTTCCTACTGTCTACTCTCTCATATCAATACGATAACAACCACGACATCAATTTTAGTACCTTATGTAATTCACAAACACACAAGCATAACCGAAACCCTGGAACGAACAACTTCCAATCCACAGAATCAGATCGAGACAATTCCTTCAATTACAATTCCTCTCCACTGAACTCACAACCTTGCGATAAACAGTGACAAGAAACTTCCATATATCATCAATCTTTCACAACAATTGATAAACAGTGATCCATAAATAACTTCGTAAATCAAATATTGATTCATTAAATCGATTCTCTTCACTAGAATCAACACTAATACAAAAGAAACAAGAAAACTAAGAAGAAGTGATAATACCAAGCTTATCCCGACTCAATATTATCGCAGTCTGGCATTTTCTTCCTCTCTCCCATCCCCCTTATACTACCCTGAGATACCAAATACTATACTACAGATGATAACTATTTTTCTTGAGTATTCATTCATTCTACCTACTGAATCACATTTTCAGCAGTTATCTATCCCTACTTACACTATACACTAGATATCTATATTCTGAAAATAACTACTTATTCTACAAAAATAATCAAAAGTATGAAGTAAGTGTATAGAACCAAGTTTAATATAACACTATTCATACTGAAAATTATAATAAAAATAATAAAATCTAGTTTAGAAATAATATAGTATTCCATGTAAAATAGTAAATATTACAACAAACTTGTGAACAGAATAATATTTAAGAATGAAAGACCAAGAATCATAAGTAGAAAAATTCTATTGTAGAAAAAAGTTTCATTAAATTCAAAAAAGAAATAAACTATATATGTGTATTCACCACAATGTACATGCAAAGATGGGCTATTAACATATCAAAATTCTATATTAACTACATACTTATACACTCTATATGTTAGATGTTTAATGCATGCAATAGTCAATACTTATCTTAACACAGAGCTTGCTATCAATCAAGCAATTTGATATCAACAACTTCAAAAATATTGACAATAAAATACTTTGGAGAAAATTTTGCAATATCTTAAAGAAACAATCAACTTTGGTCTTCACTTCTATCAAACTTGTGATCTTGACCAACATGGTTCTTCTAATTTTAATTTTGAAGGTAACTTCAATGAAAGTTATATATTCATTTTATTTGATGAATCCGTCTCATAGTCTAGCAAGTGCCAAGTATAGACAACAAATTTCATTACTACTACTAAGATGCTTGCAATCGCCAGGCCAATAAATGAACTAATTTGGTTATCATGCCTCCTACTCAATATTGCAATATCCTAGTCTATACCAATTGTCATTTCAAGTGACAATTAAAGAATATTAATTCTATTTAAAAACCTAATTTTTTAGAAACAAACCAAATATATTGATATAAAAAACTTCTTCATTTGTGAGCTTGAAGAGATATAAGAAGTTGATTTAGGGTTCAAATTTTGACTTCAAACCACACAACAAATATTTTTACTAAAGCTCAACTCCTAGATCAACTCATTCAATTACATTCCTTATTGGGTATTACAACTTTCAAAGCCGACTAAGTAGGAGATGAAAAATAACATTTGGATATAGAAATTTTCCAGGAATGAGTAAGAATGTGAAACAAATACAATCATTTGACTTTCTACATAGAAATGTGAATCGCAACTATCTCCGTGTAGTTCAGTGTACAATATACACTCAATATTCCATTCAAAAGTGTGTAAGTTCTGATTTGCATACATATCAGAAAATTAGTATTATAGTGTCTCAAAGACAATCTTGTAAAGTGAATCAGTGCGAATGCACAATTGCCAGAAAACACATTCTTTGTACTATTGCTTGATCGACTTCAATAGCAGTAAAATTACTTGGATGAAAAACAAGTAATAGATATATAAATATAATTTTCAATAAAGTAAATCTAACATAAAAAAAAACATTGAAATCATGTCGCACTTCTGAGAAGTTCTGATATTTAGGTCTAGTAAGATTCTCATTGCTTTAAATCTTTCAATTTGTGCATTAGTACATGGTGTATTACAACATAATACCAATGCCAATTTGGCAACACTTTTGCAACAAAATGTGTAACTTCACAACAATATTGCCAGCTGTGGTGTCGCAGAACAACTTCAAAAACAGTAAGTAGAAATTGAGATAGAATTGCAAACAAGACGCATGAATGTGTCGAACAAGTTGTGTATGTTGTAAAGAACAACTCAACAACTGAACCGTGCGCTGTCAACATGATGCTACACTTTCTCCACATCGAGAGTGCCCCGTACAAGCGGACGCTTCTTCGTGTCACTCGTGGATTCCTGTAAGTATGAAAAACCATTCGATTCATCAGTGCGCTGCTTCACACGCGCGAAGCAGCTGCCTCCTTGGTGAAGATTACAGCATCAACCATGCGATCATCTCCCTCACATGCAATCATTTCCAATCACTTCACCAGCGCCCGTACACTGCACACCTACATTTGGTTTCGAATTTGGATTCATGCATGTCGACCGGAGCCGAGTCCCAAAGTACAAACCACAGCAGCCGCATGTCTTCCCAGAAACATCGACTGAGTTTTATCAGCATCCCGAGGCTCATGCGCCATCGGAGCATCGAATTGCGCGTCCAACACGTGACGCAAACGAGTCTACTATCGCTATCCTGCACTAAAGCCCCAACGCCACCGACTGGACCGTGGACCGCCCGGTCCTCCACTCGTCGGAACCGCCTGCCCACCGGGAGTCATCCTCCCGAGCGCCGACCGCACACTCGGGCGCTGCGCAGCTCCTACTGCGTCCTCCGCATTCCCAATCACCTGCGGCACGTCAGCGCGCCCGAGGCGCTGCTTCCGCACGAAGTCAGGTTGGGCAGCGTCGACTTGTCCCGGAGTGCCACGGCCGTCGCCGTGTACTGGCTCACCTTGCAGTCCGTCGCCAAGAGGGAAGACGTGATGAAGCGGTCGGCTCCGCCCATGATCGGCATGGCAACGCCCCTCTTCACGGGGTTCACAAACCCGGGCTGGTAGGTCTGGCCCAGCACGCCGTTCACTTTGGAGGACAAGCTGAAGAACCTGAACTGCATGTTGAAGTGCGCGAAGCAGTCGTCCTCGCCGATGCCGTACTTATGCACTCGGTTCTCCTCGTGCCCGATGGGCAGCGCCGTCAGCACCACTCCCATCTTGTCCTTCACCACCACGTCCACGGCGTTCCTCGAGCCCACGCGGTTGATCGTCATCGTCTCGTCGGGGTCAGACCTCCACGAGGACCCCTCCAGCTCGAACGCCCTTCCGTTGTACGTGAACTCCAGCTGGTCGACGGTGGCGTCCCACTTGGCCACCTTCTTCACGCCCACGGTGAGGGAGTGCGGGCCATACACGAAGCCCAGACCCTGCACCCACGTGAAGTCGCGGGTGCGGCCCTCGGGCCGCATGCCGATGAAGTGGGCGTTGATGTGCAGGTCGCTGTCGGACACGAGGCAGAAGTCTGCGTCCTTGTAGCCGTGGAAGTAGAACATCACGCCGTCGCCTCCCAAGATCTTGGGGTCGCCGCACATGTAGTTGTTGTAACCACAGTCGACGGCTGGTGCCCCCGCAAATGCACATGCCCACGACAACACGAATCAGGGAACACTCATCAAACCAGCTCCAGGTCACCCCTCCCATCGCGAAACCGAATAATCCTCGAGACCAGAAACCACCCGACCCTACACGCACCACCAAACCTAGCAACCGGACGATCACTGCGTGCCCCGACTGCACCCGGCCCACCAACCTGCAGTGCCATGACACCACGCACGGCTGAGCGTTTCTACGCATGCGTCTCACCACGCATCATGAGCGAACGTTGCACCGGCGAGCGGCTTCGTCTAAACTACCACCGGCTGCTTCTAACCACCGGCATTGGCAAAAACCCAACAAGTGCACCAACGCGCCGGAGGCGGGCTTTGGCTATCCACGTTGGAGGATGACGAGGGGGGCCTGGGTGCAGAAACTTACGGTTGTAGCACACCTGGACGTAGCTTATGTCCGCATTGTTCGTTGTCATGTTGTTTGCGGGTGTGGTTGTGAGTCGGAACGGATTCGCCGTGACCGGCTTTGATTTAGTGCGGCATGCCGTCCGTGCGAACTTCACGACCGCCTGGTACACCTTCGTAACCAGCTGAGCGCTGTACGTCACTTCGACCTGATCCTGTCTTGTGAACTTGAATGTGAAACCGTTTGTACACCTTACCAAGCCAGACGATTTCTGGCAATTCCCGCAATTTTCTGTCACGTATCCCCCCCTGCTTTGTGGACTTGGACTTACCTTGCACATGCTCCCTTCGTTCAAGGGGCACTCACCGTTTAGCTTGGCATCGAACTCTGCGCAGTTCACCGCAGGATCGTCTGCAACGTGCGGAACACACACCAATCAGCACCATCGTTAGCCTGCACTACGCGCTCAAAGGGATGGAGAACACCGACTGACGATGGCGATATGCAACCCCATCGTCGCCAGAGCAGCACGAATGCACATAATCGCGTGCGAAAGGAAACCTCAACAAAGACTCACATTGCGCGTGCACCCAAGCCGGGACCAAGCACGCCAGAACCAGCACTAAGACGCCGGCCACTTTCATCGTGCCAGAACTCGTTGTCGTCCCGAAACGTCCACCCAGGAGTCGGACGCACAAGGTGGGACTTGGATTAGCAGGATGCACTCTCTGATCCGGTGCTGTCCGTCACCTCTCCACAACGACCCCGCCTGGTGCGCATGCAGAAGACCAGCTCGGATGGTTCAGAGTCCGGACGCGCTGCTGGATTTATATGCCGTCCAGGCCCACCACCCCATGACTACCCCCAACTCCAATTCCGGCCTCACTGGTGCCTGCGACGGCGTGCTCCATTTCCAATGCGTGCAAGTGTTTCAGGCCACGTTGCCAACGCAGCATTCGGTCTGGTCCGAATAATTATGAAGAGTCTCATTCAACAGTGAGGTCAGATCTTTTTGGCGGCATCTGTAGCGAACATTGTTCCGGGTGCCTTTCCATGTTCCCAGCTGCACTGCCAGTGGGCCCGTTTGCGAGGTATTGCTTTGGTGCGGCCCGAGGTTCAATCTTAGCGCAACATCTTGGTGTTTCAGCAAGGTCCAGACGAATGTTGAGTCATGAGTCGATCTACATCGTATCGGGGGGGCCTCACTCCGCTGGTTCGGGTTAGCGGAAATCGTCGGTACACGGAACATGGGGATTTCACTGCCTTGTTTGTGCGAGCGAAAGACAGCCGATGTAGCTCTCTGTCCGTCCATGTGCTGCATGCCGTGTGCGCCTACATTAGTCGTCTTGAACGTTCAGGGATGCTCTCGCCGAGTCTGGATACCTCCCACTTCACTGGCGACAGTAGCCGCGTGGTAACGTCCTCCTCCTCCTCCTCCTTCTTCTTCTTCTTCTCCTCCTTTTTTATTGGTGGTTTTTTACACAAATAGAGTGGATCTGTATTGCAGAGGGAAACAGACAATGCACGTGCTTCACCTTGTTACGGATGAGAGGTGATGGTGGTTTCACGTACTAATCATGGACGTGTGTGACTAACCACATACTAACCTTGTGCTGTTGAGTTAGGGACTGATGCAAATCAAAATGAGTTGGCTGGCAAGATTAGGAGGCGACCACCCAAGAGTTGACCTCTCCAGCACACACATTAGATTTGGGAGCCACGGAATATTGAGCTTGTTTAAAAGAAATTGATGACAAATTTTGAAGGTCACAAATATCTGTCAATGGACAATAATTGCTGAACTCTGTGAAAGTGAAACTTAAAACATGAAGAAGATTAACTAACTCCCCGGTGATTTAGAGTGGATGAAAATGTGACGGCTACCAATACCACACCTACACTACTAGCACCCTAGTAAAACCTCATGGCTACTACTTGTGCACAAGCCAAACCAATGGTGCTAAATCCAAGTCTCATTCAAGTACAAGGACCAACTCAACAAAATTCACACAAAGAATATTATAGGCATCATCAATACATAATTTACAAATGATCCATTTAAGGTGAAAAGAACCAAAATATCTTATTTAAGAATTTGTAATTGTTACTTAATGAAGGCACTAAAGCTATCAAATTGGTACAACTAGATACTATTTGTGTTGTTGACAAGACAACTTATTTGAACAAGTAAATACACCACTGATTCAACCCAATGAAGCCGAGCCAATCAATTGAGTTGATTGAAGAGGCTAAGTTGGACTCAATACTTAACAAGATGGATATTGGTCCTAGATGTTAGAAACTTAAAATATACAATCAAATTTGATATTATTTAGAAAAAGACCTTATATCATCAAAGAAGTATTTGATAACATGTAATACCAATTTAAGATATTAGACATAGAAGATTATTTTTGTCAAACTTATAAAAGTTGTTGTAAAGAATATAAAGTATAATCATTAGATATAATTTCAATGCATTTAGAATACTTTATAATCAGCTCTAAGCTAATTTTATATAGGTTTTATATTTTTTAGTATATTTTGAGAAAATAATTTTAAACTATAAGCAAGAAATAACATTTAATAGTTATAAGCCTTATTTAATTTTTTAAATATTGTTTAAGATTTAAAAGGTTTTACAAGTGATGAGAGCATTGTCAAGTAAAAAGAAATAATACTAGAGTTTTTGTGAGTCTTAGACAAAATTATCCTAGTAGGATTAGGATCTTATTCAATATGAATTAGTCCAAGTTGATACAATAATGCTTGAGAATTATATAAGTATTCTTCTCATTGCGGTCAAGCTTTAGTAGACCATAGCAATTGAACTAATAGAGGTGGATTCGAATATGGGGAAAGACTGGTTATATGAATTGGGTTTGTCAGTGTCACAATTGACTATATTCTGACTATTTGAAATCAAGTATCAAACTATAAAACATTGAAGCTTACTACTTCCATCTTAATTCAACCCATAATCCATTCTATGATTATCAATTCAACAATACTTCTCTCAATCACCATTCTTCATAAGCAAATAATAAAGAAAACAAAGAGGTAGCACCAAGCTTACCCCCGCTTATGATTCTCAATTTGACTCTTGGCTTATGACTCTCAGTTTGACTCTTGGCTTACGATCCTAAGTCTAGCTCTCGATCTTTCTTTCCTCAACTTATTTCTCCTACCAAAAAGATGATCCGATGGCCAGCGGATTCCAAAGGTTATGAACCTTTGAATTCTTAACAATTTATTCTATCAACAACCTATTGTTATCAATTAAACTGCCTAACTATTAATCTAATTTTCGAGGTTAGTAATAACCAACCAATAAGTTAGCAGAAAATTTATTTATCTATTCTACATAGCCCCACTCCTAATTATGTAGTATCCTTACAAACATTATTTAGCCTCTACTTTTAAAGATGTAGTAGTGTTGGCTTCTTCAATCAATGGTTTTGGCTTACCACCCTTTGAATTGGTGACCTTCTCCTCTACTTCATCTTTGTCGTCTGCCGTGGTGTTCGATGGTTCTCCATCCAAACGTGCCTTCAAATCTTCATTCAACAAAACCAATTCTCGTACTTACAACTCACCTCGGCCAATTTGGTTGTCACGCTCCTCCAACATCTTCTGCCATTCTTCTGTCGGTTTCAAAGGTAGTCCAAAGATGTTGTCGTTGAAATTGGTGTATTGGTCCGTACTAAATTATTGGCCTCCTTCGCTAATGCAGCTAGTTTAGTCTGCTACATCGCAACCTCTACTTGTAGCCGTTCTTGCCGTTCATTCCAATCGGTCGCCATCCTTACTGTCTCAGATATCATGTTCGTCATCTTCTTCTTAACCACAAAAGAAAACATGTTGCTTGTCAAGAGCCCCCGTCCTACTTCTTATTATAGTCCAATTAATTGGATCAACTCCTCTTTTTGTAAGAAAAAATCTATCTCAAGTTTATGTATAATAAAGTTTAAGCTGATTACCATTGGTCTGTGTCGTAAATTAAGTACCCATAAAATCTTCCAATTGTATTGAACCAGTTGGAAATCTGTCAATAATTCGATATGGCCCATGCCATCGAACTTGAAATTTTTAAATTTTTTTTTAAATCGACTATCGTAAAGAAGTATCAAATCATTTGGCATAAAAGCCTTTGGTCTAAGCTTACTATCACAATAAGTCTTCCTTCGTTTTTGGGTAGTTTCTATTATCATTAATGCATTGGCTCTAATTTCATCCAATTTTTCTAATTTTTCTTAATGGTTCCATAATGAATCCTGATCTTCCAATCTATTATCTATAGCAATTCATAAACTTTGGATTTCCAATTCAATAGGTAATATAACTGCTTGGCCAGAAACCAATTGGAAAGGAGTATCATTGGTAGTAACTTTATACATAGTACAGTATGCCCATAAAGCTGCGAACAACTTAGTATTCCAATCTGTTCCCGCTCTTGAAACTTTTTTTGTTAACATTTTACATAAAATTCCATTAGTCTTTTCTATTTGTCCATTGGTTCTAGGATGATATGGTGTAGTTTTTCAATGTTTTATCTTGTATTTAGCCATGAGTGCTTTGATTGTTCTATTGATAAAATGAGTTTCCTGATCACTAACCAATTCTCATGGACAATCGAACCATGTAATAATATTTTCATACAAAAAGGTTGCTACTATACTTGCACTATTGGTTTTTGTAGCTACTGCCTCAGCCCATTTTGTTGCGTAATCCATTGCTATCAATATATACTATTTTTGTTCATTTCTCGAGGCTGGTGCAATTAGTCCTACAAAATCAATTCCCCATTTTTTAAAAGGCGTTTGAACCAAAATTGGTATCAATGGCATTGGTAAAGTTCCAATAGGTTGACATGTTCTCTGACATGGGTCACAATGACAGACAAATTGGTGGGCATCTGCAAACAGTGTTGGCCACCACTAACCAGCTTGTAAAGCTTTACGAGTCGTATTGTCTTCTACAAAATAACCACCATAATTGTCGAAGTGGCAACCTTCCAATATAATACGCACTTCAGTCTGATAAATACAGCATCGCAAAACTCCATCCTTGCCTTGTTTATATAAAGCTTGACCAATCATTGTATAAAGTGCACATTTTAATATTTAGCATTGTTTAAGCTTTTCATTGAAATTGGGTAGAAAGGTTTGAAATGTCAAGTATTGAATTATTACACTATACTCCAAAGTAATTACATCCATCACAAACAATTTTGCATCGGATAGTGAATCGTTAATGGGTTCATTACCCAATATATTGGATAACCGAGATAAATGGTCTGCATTAGAATGTGATTTTTTTGGTCTTACCCGAATAATAAAGTCAAATTCCTGCAAGAGTAGAATCCATCGTGCAATACGATTACTCAATTAAGGCTTATTAATCATACATTTTCAAGCATCATGGTCGACATGGAAAACAAATTTATAACTAAGAACTTTTGTAAGGAATAAATCATTCTCAATGCTTCTCATTCGCTTGTTGTATAATTTCTTTCAGCTGCTATCAATTGATGACTTGCATAATGAATAAAATGATCAAAATCCCGATCATCTTTCTGGCTTAGCACAAAACTAATTGCGACATTAGATGCATCCACATAAACTTGGTATAGTTTTATCCAACAAGGTGCCACCAATATTGGTACTGAAATCAATTTATGTTTCAATGTTTTGAATGCAATTGTATATTCTTTTCTCCAAAATGGACTGGTCTCATCAGTTGGTGGTTTCTTTAAGAGATTTGTCAAAGGAAGGCATATAACTACAAATAGATAGATAAATCACCGATAATAACTGACATAGTTGACAAATGCTCGAACATCCGTAACAGTGTCTGGTTGCTTTAATTCTACTATAATCTTTATTTTATCTGGATCTAT